TTTGCTCCAGAAGGAAATTCCCAGTCTGGGTCTCCTGCACTGAGCTCCCTGCAGGCGGCCTTTGAACTGCTGCCCAGCTTGTACTCCAGCAAATCCTCAAGTTCCTCACAGTAACATGCCCAGACAGAACCCAGTACTTGAACTCAGGACTTGGGCCTCGCCATGCCCCACCCAACTCCTTCAGGAACCAGACATCTGGACTTGGCTCCCGGGAACACCTTCTGGCTACCCCAACTCTACTGCCAGCTCCAACTCCCTCAGGGCCATCACAGGGCCTCCTTCCGCCCCTGCCCCACCTGTCCTGCCCATTGATTTCTCTAGACTGTGGCTGCGTCGCCTCCCCCCACACACACATTCAGCTGTTCCCTTTGCAGCTCCCAATACCTAGAAATAAAGCTGTCATTTCTGCTTACTTTAGGGGTCTCAGTTTAAATGCCACTGGTTCTGGGAAGCCCTCCCCTCCCCTCCCTAGATTAGGGGAACTCCCATTGGTACCTACACCCACAACACACCTCATCTCTCAGAGACACTCTGTGAACTTGTAATTCCTCATCCTCCCCCGTGACATGACAGCCCGAGTGGGCGTGGGGCACTAGGGCTCCTTGTCCTCTCTGTCTCCCCAATGCTGAGGCAGTGCCTGGCACAAACAGGCACTCGGCACACAACGTTGACTGACTGACTGCAGAAAGGTTCGAGGCCTTCAAGATAGCAGCTTAAATTTCTACCATCCCCAAATCAGCCGGTGCTCGGGACATTCAGCCTCTTCCTCAACCCCCAAAACCATCCCACACATTCCTCCCCACATCTCTACTCAGATTGCTGCCTTGGCCAGGCACGCTTGCTCTCTACTCCGAATTATCTATAAATCTTCCGGTTCCCTTTCCGGGCTCCAATTCAGGGCCCTTTCCTCCATGGGCTCGTCTCTGAAATCCCTCCACCAGCCAAAATATCTGTGTTCCATGTCCTTCCACTCTGACCAGATTGTAACCTCTTTGAGGGCAGCTTCTAGTTTGTAGTTAATTGATATTTCCAATGAAAACATTTCACTGTGAAGCCAAGAGATACCTTATATCCAATGCTCGCATACACTGTCTTACATAACCATGTTTCAAAGAGTGCTTTGGTGGTGCCATGTAGTTAGTAGGGACACACAAATATTTCTGAATGAATATTTCCTCCCTCATACCTGCAAGAATATGATGGTGACGGTCTCCATCTGCACACTCATTTTTTTTTTTTTGAGACAGAGTCTCGCTTGGTTGCCCAGGCTAGAGTGAGTGCCATGGCATCAGCCTAGCTCACAGCAACCTCAAACTCCTGGGCTCAAGCAATCCTTCTGCCTCAGCCTCCCGAGTAGCTGGGACTACAGGCATGCGCCACCATGCCCGGCTAATTTTTTCTATATATATTAGTTGGCCAATTAATTTCCTTCTCTTTATAGTAGAGACCGCGTCTCGCTCAGGCTGGTTTCAAACTCCTGACCTCAAGCAATCCGCCCACCTCAGCCTCCCAGAGTGCTAGGATTACAGGCGTGAGCCACTGTGCCCGGCCTGTACACTCATTTTTAATATGTGGTTTTCTTATGTTTACAACATGAAAAAGGTGTTTTCATCAGCAAACGAAGTCTGTCTTTTTAGGCTTGTTCCATCTTTATTTGAGAAACGAATGCATGCCTCCTCGTGCCTCACGCACCAGATCAAGGTAGTGACTGTATTTGCCAGTGTACCAGGCACACCACTGCGTAAGAGAAAAGGAATTTCTCCTGGAGCTGATATTTTCCAACACATTCAGCAACACTTGTCTCTTGGGCTGCTGAACAGGACCACGTATGTGAAGGCGTATGAGGAGGTATGCGGCACTAAAATAAAGAGGAAACCATGCCACTAATCGCTGTGAGTTTATTTTCCATGCTAATGTTTTATGGTTGCTTTTTAATTCAAAAAGTAGAAGCATTGGGATTCTCAAAAATACTACCTAAATATAAATCCACAGAGACAGAAAACAAGGTGGTGGTTGCCAGGGACAGGGGAGAGGGGGAATTGGGGAGAAAGTGCTTAATAAGCATCAGGTTACCTTTTGTGGGGACAAAAATGTTTTGGAGCTAGATAGAGGTGGTAGTTGTACACTATCGTAAAGGTACTAAATGCCACTGAACTATTTGCTTTAAAATGGTTAATTGTATGGTATGTTGATTCCACTATAATAAAAAAATACATATCACCTAAATAATACTGAATGCTTTCTAAATGTCCCAAAGAACAAGGCAGTGCTATATTCTAGAACTCCAGCAGATCTAAAGGTCCCACAGCAGCCTGTACTCTGCCTTTGTAGAAGGAAAGGGGTCCCTGTGTCTAAGCAGGGCCATCTCCCTCACAGTGTCCTCAGAGACACTCATCTGAACACGATGACAAACAAGGCCATGCTGAGTATGTGCGTTTTGGTTTGTTTTCTCCTTGGCTTACATAAGGACTTGTTAAGGTGTTTAGTTTGATTAAGGACTTCCTAGTTCCGGAGGTGGAACCTGAAGCAGGTTTTATTTTTCCTCTAAATGAGTGGAACTTTCTAGGGACAACTCATACAGACTGTGGACAGACTGTGGATTTGCCTTGCTGTGGCGTCTGCTTACCAGGGCCCTAATGAAGAGGAAGGAAGAGGATCTGCTCGGTGGCCAGAGTCATGGTGTGCAGTTTCTCTCCACTCCAGGCAGGCATAGCAAGGACAGAAGTTGACTTTAGAGAAGGTCGGGTGGACTTGTCCTAACAGCTCATGGCTTCTCAGGAAACAGTCCTTTTGTTGTCTCGTCAGGGAGGAACAGAATCTCTGCCAGCGAGAGCAGGGGCAGGTGCACCAGCAGCGTCCTGGATCAAGTGCTCAGCTGTCCTGGAAGGCCATCAGGCCTCTTCCAAGCTTAGGCCTCCTGCCTGGGGGCCTGGCTGGGCCCCATGGCCAGAGGGGGCTGGGCTGCTCGTGTGCAAGAGTCTCATCCATCCTTCAAACACACAAAGCTAAAGGAAAATCACACCCTTCATGTCACACATGGCACTGGAGCCCAAGGTCCAACGGCTGTACTATAATCAAGTTGCATCAGTCAACTCTATAAGCACAGGTCTATGGGTTTTAAATACTTAAGTTTCCTCCTGACTTCTGCACTTTGTATCTTCTCATATGCCTTCACATACATGGTCTTCTTGTTCAACATGTTGGAAAATATCAGCTCCGGGAGAAATTCCTCTTCTCTTACATAGTGGTGGGCCTGATGCACCAAAGGAAGCCTGGAGTCAAAGTTGTGTTCACTTGGGGAACTCTAGGTCCAGCAAAAGAGAATTGTTCCAGGAATTTCTCACCAAGAAATCTTTCCTGAGGAAGAGAACACTGCTTCACCCTTAAAGTTGCAAACGTGTTGGAAATGTAATCAATACAGTTAATCATCAACCCAGGCCACTGAACGGGTTTGGACAAAGACAGCGTAGAATTAATTATAGGTGGCTGCAAAATTTCCCCAACACACCCTCTTAGGTTCGAGAACCCAATGGAGGTTTCCTCTTATCGTTTTTCTCAAAGACTGAAAAGCTGCCTGGATGCTGTTAAGGCATTTACAGCTGCACAGAGAAGCTGATGACTCCATCTAATAAGTGTCTGGCAATCATCAACCTCCCTAATTGCCATCTGGGGGAAGAGGTGGAAATTTAAACAAACAGCATGGATTTGCAGTGTTACTGGAAGATGAAAAATGTTATGGAAGCGCCTAGGCATGAGAGGTGAGCATAAAACGTGAGCACACGCTTCTCTCTGGACACCGTAATTCCAAAAGCCTAGAGACGCCGGGTGCAAAGGTTCTGAGTATCTACCTCCTTGACGTTTACAACACAAGGAAACAGAAGTTGCTCAAGAAAGTCCGGGTTCCACTGAAACGCCCCAGACTCTTTCTGCATTTGCTTGTCCACTCAGGCAGAAGAGGGCATGATGAGACTGAGGCTCCTACGTGGCCTTGTTCCTTCATACCCCAAGCTCACTTAAAAGGAAAAGAAAGGGATGTAATCCCTCCTAAATGGGTGCTCCTATAATGCTATTATTACCCCGCCACTTTAACAGATGAGAAAACTAAGGCTCTGAGAAGTTAAATGGCTTTTTCTAAACTCGACAGCCAATGAGCAGTGGGGTCGGTCTTAGGATCCTGGCCCCCAACTCCCAGTTCACTGTCTTGGTTCCTCCAGAGAATGAGGCCTGTAGCCTGAGCTTTTCTAAAGCATATTGGAGCAAGTGGTATCATCCGCTAAGTCTCAGCCAGCTGCCCCTCTCTATGAGCATGAACTAATGACAGTTTTTCCTCCCTACCATGCATGCTACAAGGAAAGAGCACCCCAGAACCGATGTTTCCCAGTCACCCCGGGTTTCCTAGTCTACAGGACAATGAGACCTGGGCTGATGCTTTTAAGTGCTCCATACCTAGCCACCTGTGACTTTTCAAAAAGGAAGTCTAGAAATGTGATCATCCCACTTACTTGCACACCTTGGTTGTTTTCCAAGCCCTGTCCTGCACATGATCTCATCTGACCACCATGAAAACCTTAGCCGTACATTTAATTGGTTCTTTGAAAATTTCTGGGTTTCCAGAGTCAACCTGTTCAAACAAAATACCCCAGGGAAGGGACAGCACCTTACACTTTTATTGGCTTACACCTTGGTAATAGTTGGCAACTGGCTGAGAATTAGGCCCTGGGACACTTCTCAGGAAATAGGATGTGGAGTCAAAGGGGGAAAGAAGAATGAAAGGGGAAGGAGTGGAGTTGCTCTGCTGCCCTCCCAGGAGCCCCCGTCACAGTCTCACAAAAGAGGTCCTAAGTGAGTCCCTCCCTGCTTCCCCCCTGCTGCCACCCTCCCCGCCAACAGCAGAGACCAGCTTCACCCACGGGGGCCAAAGGTAGAGAGGAAAAGAAGAAAAAGAGAAGGGACAGGAGAGATAGGAAGAAAAGATGGAATAAACCAATCATCAGAGGCTCTTCAATCTTAATTCATTTTATTCTACAAAATGCTACTCAACTGAAAGTGGAAAAGCTAACAACAACAACAACAACAAAACCGCAAGGGAAAAAAAGTCTTAATATGTTCTTTCTTCCATAGCAGCAAGCTTTTTCTAACAAGCTTTCTTTAGTGCAAATACTGTAGGCTTGTATTACATACAGTAAAACAGAACAAAACAACGACGACAAAAAAACACCACCAGAGATGCTTCAGAACAGAGCTACTCCTCAATTTTCAAAATTATACAAAAATTTTGAGCTCATGGTTCTGCTTGGAGAGATCTATGCAGGAGACTCTCCAATGGGATCATTTTATTATTACTTAAAAAAACAGGAGCCCAGAAAAAAAAGGTGCCCAGAAAGATAATAATTCCCCAAAGAGCTATAGGAACCTTGTACAACTCATTTGCCTCCAGAACCTTATAGCAGACTTCACTCCACATCATTGACATATCTCAAATACAGATGCACAAAGCTTATGGTTTTCCACTATACACCAAAATACTATATATACATCTCCCACTGCAGAAAAGACACCCTGATACCTATTCTTTGTACAAAGTCAAATATTTTCTTCCTCAAAATCAAGTAAACACAAACTGAAATAAATGGAATAAACTTTTAATCATACAGAGAAAATAAATTTTGAGAAACAGGGCAGGATCTTTTGTTGTGTTCTCTTACAATGTAGATTTCTTGGCGACCACTGTCCCCAGAGGAATGACAATCCATCTTTAGAAACAAAACCTTTTAATACAGTTTATACAGCACAAGTCACAAATCACTTTAGAAACAACAACAAAAAAGCATCATTATCCTAAATTTAAAAAAAAAAAAAAGGAAGCAAGAGAGAGGGGAACTGAGTATTTTAATGCTATCTGTTTCTATTCAGGCTTGATACAACACAAAGAAGATGTAAACATTTAAAATAAATAATAAAATAAATGTCAATTTCTTCTCCCTCTCCCTTTCCTATACCCCCCTCAAAATTTGATCCAGCCCCTTCTGAACATGTCGTCAGCATCGGGAAATTAAAACCCTTTGTTGATGTGTGGCCCAAGCACTGGAAGCATGAGAAGATGCCAGATTAGTAGCAGAATGACTAGGTTTCCTTTAAAAAGCTAGAGGAGGACACAGCACGCCTGAAAATGTATACATACATGTGCGCATGCACATGAACACACACACACATACCATACACACATAAACCTGTCAATAAATAGTGAGATGCTGGCTTTTAAGATGAATGCCAAAAGACTCAACAAGCAGAATGCAGCAAGACCCCTTTCCTTACGTTTTTTAAAAGAAAGTTATACACACCACATACTCTATTGGTCTACAAATTCTGTAAAGACTCAGGTTACCCTTTGAACATCTGAGGAGTGCACAGGAGCATGTGGCAGGGTAGAAGGAGAAGAAATTTGGAGGTGGGAGGATATTGCAAGGGTTGGGTCTTTGAGAACAAACATTAGCCTGAAGGCAATCTTACCTCCATCTCTGAAGAAAGACCTCACCTCCAAGTGTTTTTGTTTATCCATTACTTGGGGACCTTTTATAAAGAGATGCCCTCATCCTTTAGTGTCATCCTAGAAAGGATATATACAAAAGTGCCCTAACACAGTGTCTGGCACATAGTAGGTGCTTTTTCTTCTTTTCCTTCCTAAAGGGGCCACAAAGATGTCTGATCAGGGAAGGAAATCAACCTGAAACTGACTTGGTTAGACTGCAAGGAGCACTGTTGGTCCATCATCGAGGAAAAGGGAGAAAACAGTCACAATGCTCCAGGCCGTTCAACTCCCCCTTATACTTGGAGTCAAGTGAGAACAGAGGGAAACTGCCTTCCCCAACACCTGAGAAAGAGAAGCAGTAGCCCAGATGGCTCTTGGCTTTGAGATGCTTGTGTGACTGGCCACAGTGGACACACCTGGCCGTTAACACAGGCAGAACAATGTTTGCCTCTTTCTAAAAATCTCCCCAATGAATTCTCTGCTTGGAGTTGGCTCCAGCAATTCCCCAAGCTTCACCTGAGATCTCCTCTCTTTCCTACGTCAGCAGCTGTCCCCATGCACCCAGCCTGGGAGAAGACTGTTCCCAGAAAGGCCAGCCAGGAGGCCGGGAGGACTGTGTGTTTTACACCAGCTGATCAAGGAGTGCCTGCCCTTTGCCGTCCCAGAGCTGCCTGCAGCCCAACCAGAGTCCACACCAGCTGCCTCATGGCTGGGGACACGGGGAAGCACAGCAGTTCCTAACCCGAGCACAAAGGCATCCCCACTGCAGCTGTTCCCTTAGCTGGAGCCATGGAGGAGAAAACAGCTGGCCAGGTGTCTGGTGATTCTGGATCAAGGGGGTGTGTGTGTGAGAGAGAGGGGAGGGGGGGAGAACGAACTTGGAGAGCAAGCCAAAAGGAAGTAAACTGAGCATATGCTCTTGACTTAAGTGTGAATATTAAGCCTTCCCCAAATAACCTCTGGCATTGGGGAAAGGTTGGCCAAACACCTCCTAGGACAAAGCCAGAGGGTCTTAAAAGGGAACACAGCGTAGAGGCCTTTAGAATCCTGTGGACTGGCTGGATTTTTGCCTTCCACTGGTCCCAATGCCAACACAGCTTGGAACCTGAACTGAAGCCAAGCTGTGTCTCAGGTATGCCCAGCCTGGCGGTAAGTCCCAGACTGTGACCAGTGTTGGAGATCCATGCTGCACAAAGTGGAGTAAGGGGGCTTTTAGAAATAAAAGACCAGAAAGTAGCTTCATTTAAGAAATATCTCTATATACAAAAACCAAATAGCTCCCGCTTGGCTACAAATACCGCTTGAGATGATTAAGCCTTTCAGAGCTGAGTGCACCCTGATTTTCTTTGCCCATCTCCTGCTATTCCTGGCTAATTCTGCTTCTTTGATTCATGTGAAGCCAGAAACCCAATTGCCCGATCTTCTTAGGAGTCGCTGGGGAACTGGGAGGGCGGCATCACAGCCAAGGAATGCGGGAAGTAACATTTTCAAAGTATTTTGAACAAAATCCTTTTTCTTTTCATCTCCTCTCTCTGCGTGGCCTAACCCTTGCACACACATCCATCCCTTCCAGTATATTTTAAGCGTACGGCTGTTCCACTCTGCGTGTCTAGTGCACGAAAGTGGGAAATGGACATTAAATAATGACCAGCACGTGTGGCCTCGATGTGTGAGGGAACAAGCCGTGAACACGTCACTGCTGTCTCCAGAGCTGAACTTGGAAACTGATCTCTCAAGCAAACTAAGATGATCTCAGCAGCAGAGTCCACCTCAGAGCACTGGCCCAGCAGCCACCAGTTCTGGCCTGGAGCTGCTCCCAGGACACGGGTCAAGACCCTGCGTGACAGGAAGCTCAGTGGGAGCCACGCCCTGGGGAGGAAAGGCTCAGAGCTCAGAGCGGTGGGAGGCAGGCTCTTGCTGGGAGCCAGGGCTACCCCTTCCCCACCCCCAACCTGGGAAGGGGGCAGCGCTCCTGCAGTGGGAAGCAACACATTCTGTCTCCAATTTCAGCAGCCGGAAAGATTCAACATACAACCAGGAATGGCACATAAGCCATAAGCCACAGCGACAGTGCAGGCCAGCTGTTCACAGCTTGCTGACTGGGCCAGAAAAGCACACTGGGGTGGGGGCAGGGGAGTGTAAAAGAGAAAGCACTTAATCCATCAGGTGGCAGATGACCACAGAGGGCAGAAAAGGCGCAGCGCCTCATGAGAGGCCAGCAGCCGGGACAAGCCAAGCCAGCGCTGGGGCTGCGGCCGCTGCGAACACCACTCCACCCTCCGATGGCTGCAGCCCTCCTCCCTGCCCTGCCTCCCCATCCTGGGCAGATGCTCCTTGGAGGCTTGGGGAGGGGCCCCTGGCAGCAATCTGGGGAGGGTCCAGGCCCACGCTCATTAAATCTCCGTGGGTGGCGTCACCCTGAGAGCCAGGGTTGGGGAAGGGTGGGGCCCGGCAGGGACTTGGAGCGACCTGTGTTTCCTAGGGAGGGACGCCTCCCTGGTCTGGAGAGAAGGGTCCAGGGGCAGAACAGCGAGGCAGTAATTACAGGAGACGCCCTGCTCAAGACACCGGTGAGGGGAAGCTGGCTAGGACACCCGTGCGGCTTTGTTGGCACTATTCCTGGCCTGGTAATTAGGCGTTTGGCAAACCCAACCAGGGCCCTGCCGTCTCACTCACACCCGTCTTCTGGCCAAGCCGCTCCTCCAAAAGCCGTCTCCGAGGGTGAGGAGGAAGGGTCCTCCGAGCCTCCCAGTGGCGGTGGCATCTCCTTGAGAGCTCAGCGAGCCCCGCTGGTAGTTCTGGAGATGCTGGCACAATGGGAAGCACTGGGGTAGGGAAGGTTCTGTATTGCACTTTGTCCCTTCTGGACAAGTCAGCCCCAGCAGAAGAGTCACCTGCTGCCCCATCTCCAGAAATGAAGAGCTTTAATATTCAGACCACCCAGATGAAATGTCATGGCAAATTTCATAAAAACCAAGAGGGAGTGAAATTGACACTGGGGGAGGGAAGGGGCAAGTCGAGGGAAGGTGAAACCAAAGGCACTGAGCATGCTTGGTGGGGCAGGGAAGGACACCATCACTCCAGAGACAATATCGTAACAAAGGGACAGGAACGGTCCAGGCCAGCTTCAGGCTCTTCAGAAGCCATAGAGATGTCTAAGTCCACCAAACCAAGTTCTCCAAGGCTTTTCAAGAAATAGGATTTGCTTGCAAGATGAATGAGGGAGGAGGTCCCATGGCTTCCAAGAGATCAACCCAAGTCCTCCAGCGCCTTGCTGCCAAGTCCCACCTGGGTCCCCCAGAGCCAGGAAGCTCCCTGGCACGTCCCTCTCTTGCCCTCACGGCCCTGGAGTGCTTGAAGGTGCTGGTCCCTGGGAAGGAGGCAGTGACAAGGACCCCCTCCGGAGCTGGGGAGGAGAGGCGAGCTGGGTTACAGAGCCAGCAGAGTGGGGGAGTTCAAGGAGTCTGATGACTGGTCCCCGCTGCTACTGCTTCTGCGGTGAGCCTTGGAGCAGGACTCAGAGGGTGACGCGGGCGACTCCTGCTCCAGAACGCTGGGGTAGGTGAAGACGAGGTTTGAGGTGCCCGGAGTGACAGCAGGCGTGGAGGTCACCACGATGGGGGTGTGCAGCGGCTCCTCCCCGTAGAAGCCCCCAGCGATGCTGATGGGCTTGATGACGGAGCGCTGGGCCTTGTCCAGCCCTGCTGATGAGGATGAGGGACTGTCCTCTTCCAGGGGCTCCTGTTTCACCACCACAGCACCTACTGCACCACTCCCACTGCGCATGGGCGGCAGCCCTGGGGCTGGGGGCGATCGGCGCTCCTCGGGGCTGATCTTGCAAACGGGGCCGTGCGCCACCAACATGAACTCCAGCTTCTCCTTCTCCTTCTGCAGTTCAGCGATCTCTTTCTGCAGGCCTGACTTCTCCTCCTCCAGCTCCTCCGTCTCCTGCAGGGGAAAGAGAGGGATGTGAGGGACAGCAACCTGCTGAGGGGTGGTTCCAATACAGGCAGGAAAGGGAAAACAAGCAATGTCCTCAGACGACTGTGAGCGGCCAGCTCACACACCTGGCCACAGACCCTGCTGGTTCTGAGTCACCTGCAGGCTCAAGACTCCTTTTAATTCAAAAGAAGGAAAGTAGGTGTAGAGGAGGAGTGAAACAACAATCGCTGCTGCCATAATTGAACACCTACTTTGTGCCAGACATTGTGTTAAGCATTTCATGGATTATCTCAATCAATCCTCCAGCAGTTGTTGAAAACACATGTTATTATCAACCCATTTTGCAGATGAGAAAACCCAGGTTCAGAGAAGTTTTATAATTTGCCCAAAGTCACAAAGCTAGCAGGTAGGGTAGCCCAAATTTGATTCCTAAAGTATCTGTCTTGAGAGTCCATGTGCTACTATGCTCTACTGCCTTGGTGCCCTGACTGTCCCCTGGGCCCCCTGAGGGGTGGGTAACAGACTTGCATGGCGAGTGCAGCCCCACCCCTCTTTCTCCTTCTCTACCTCCTCCACTCCAAGCCAGCTCACCTGTGGACGCACAAACGCTAAGCCCTAAGCTGCATCAGAGTGGAGATTTCGTAGCACCTAGCACAGTGCCTGGCTCGTAATAAGGGCTCAGCCAAGCCCGGCGGGACCATCACAGCCCTTCCTCCCTTTTTTGCTCCAATTTCTGAAGCACATGTTTCCGGACTCCCCAAACCCTCCGAGGACATTCAGTTCAGCCACTGTGCTTGACAGAAGAGGAACCTGGTGGCCTGAGAGGGCCTGAGAGGATGCCAGGGTCACCCCAAGAGGACCTCAGGCCCTCTCTTTCACACAAAGCCAGAGAAGCAGATGAGCAAACGCCCATGGAGGGAGCCGCTGTGGGAGGGGAAAAGGTGTGTGTCGCTGGCCTCCTGCCCACTTTTTCCCTAACACAGATTCCTGTTCGCAAACAAGGAGATACGGGCAAGAGCTTCATTGAGCAGAGCACAGCATATTCCGGAGTGAAAAAAAGTTTCCATCTGTCTCAAGGGTCTGACAAACGTCATGAGCTTCTGAGAGGCTTCCTGTAGAGGATGTGGCTGGGTCAGGGGCGGGGGAGGCGGGGGAGTAGGGCATGAGGCTCCTGGGGGAAGGGGAAGATAGAGGGGCCTCGGGCCGGGCTATTCTGGGGCTCCTTGAAGTGCCCACGGGGACGGCGAGCGCTGGGGACGGCTCTGCTGAGCGAGTCCCACGTGGAGTGCTGCTCGCTCACGGTGCCTCACCTGGCAACACTCCCACTCACGCTCCGGGGACACGAGTACGGCACCCCGGCATTCCTGCCGCGAGGGCTGCAGGACGGACAAAGGGAAGCTTAAGCAGGTGGATGGTACCTGAGGGGGCTACAGAAAGTGATGGACTGTTTCCAAAGTCCCCTCTGGGCCAGTCACTGTGAGGCCCACAGACAGAATCTCACTCATCTCCTCACTTTGAAAACATTCCACCTGGGAGGGGCGGCCCCAGCTCTGGGCTTCCTCCATGTGGCACACGGCCCTTCCTGTGTGGCTGGGCTGGAGCGGGAGTGACGTGACCGTCAGGTCAAGCTTATGAGAGGGAAGGGCAAGGCCACGGGCCCTGGTCTGGGCAATTAGGTAGCATGGGGGAGTGACTCACAAGGGCACAATGAGGTCCCAAGGCCACATGAAGGGGAACCCTCCAGCCCATGAAAGGCATGAGAAAACCCCAAGGAAATACAACTCAGCTGGCACATGATCCGTCTCCACCATGACAGCCTCCCCACCCCCACCCAAGCCAGCCACTCCTGGCTGGGCCACTCCTGCTGGGGGTAGGCTGGAACCTTGGGGAAGTAGCCCTGGAGGGGGCAGGCTGTCCCTACCCTGGCTCCCAGGGACCAGTGACACCAGCACCCTCTGCCATCCCTCACCCAGGAGCCCCAGCAGGTCTGAGAACAGAGAACTCTCAGGAACTGAGTAAAAAAAAGGTGCTAGGCCCAAGAAGCTTGTCCGTTTCTTCTCTCTAGGCCCAAAGGTCAGCTGGTGCCAAAGATCAGCCCCCTGCCCCTCTCTTTTTTTAATCCGAGCAGTGCTGACCCACGTGTGCAAGGGAAGGAGTGTTCTACCTCCACTGACTCAGCTATAGGGCACTTGTGGAAAAGGAGAAGGCTGGGGGCGGGGCAGGAGCCTGGGGCTCTTGCTGTGCCCACCCAGAAGTGCGCCCACCCCGTGCGCCCACCCCGCGCAGAGCTCCTCACCGCCTGCAGCTTCTCCGTCAGCTCCCGGCGGCGGTTCCGGCACTTGGCTGCAGCCAGCTTGTTCCTCTCTCTCCGGATTCGACGCTTCTCCTCCTCTTCGGGGGACAGCTAGAGACCAAGGTCAAGTATCATGATTAGAATGGGATAAATGGTTAACAGCATTTTTTAAAAAACTGTATTTTAAATAAGGCAAGAGGCCCTTCTGGAACTGGGAGTGGAAGAAGGAGGACAAGAGGAGTGTGGCTGGGCTCAGAGGTCCCAGAACGTGCAACTCACTGGTGTTTAGCTGCCTGGGAGTGTGACTCTGCCCCTGAAGGTGATATCCATGTTTAAAGGGACAGCAGGACAGCAATGGGTCAGGGACTCACTGGCCAGGCATGATGGCAGCATTTGTCACGTGAGCCCTGATTCAGCACCCGTCAGGGCCAGAGAGACAGCCAGGCCTGACCCTACCCACTTAAGCAGCTTCTTCCAAAACCCGGCTAATTACCCTCCCACAGCTCTGCCTGCTCTGCAAGCCTCATTATCCCCATTTGGTTAAGTAGCTGGGCCCAAAGTCCTCACGAGGGCAAGAAGCGCCCAGGAGGGATTGTGCTGTTGTTACCACTGGGAGGGCCAAGGAGACCACTCCACTCCCGACTTCCTCTGCCTGCCCTGGAGTGCCAGCTGCTCACAGTTCAACCCCAAGGACTCCTGGTGTGGCGCAGTACTGGGCTGGACAGGACAAGCAAGAGGAGGAGCTCCCAGGATGTTAAATCATGCTGCCCACCATATCCATTCATTCAACAAACAAGCACCTACTTCTACGTGCCAGATGCTGTTCTAGGGGCTTGGGATTTATCTGTGAACAAAGAACAATCCCCTGCAAAGAGCTTAGGATCTAGCTCCTTCAATGAGGATGGTTAGGGACATGTCACTCATACCAGAAGGCAAGAACTCTGCTGTACTAAGCGGGGCCAATGCTCTGGTTACATAGAGCCCTTCCAGAGCTGTGACCTGGTGCTCCTCCCAGACAGAGGTGGTGGCACAAGGAGATGGCTGTGGGCCAAAGCAGAAAGCAATGCAAACACCATCACATTCATTTATCAGACAGTGACTGGACACCTACTATGTGCCCGGTGCTAGACTGTGGGCTTAGAAGATTCCAAGGGGCATAAGACCTGGGTCCACGCTCAAGGGACACATGGGAAAAAAGCTGAAGCCACTTTTGGAGGAGGGGAGAGAAGCTGCCCCATGGAGGGACGCTGCCTCGACTGCTGGCCACCCTGTGACAGAAAGTGCCACTGTCCTGGCTGAAGCCAAGTCAGAGTCCCAGGATATTCCCTATAGCCCTGGAGGTCTGTTGCTGTCACATTCTAAACAGCAAAGCAGGGCAGGGCATCAGAGAGGAAAATCCTGTGGCTGTTTACGCTGGTGACCCCGCAGCCTGGCTGAGGTCATGAGGCCACTTGGCCAAGGCTCTGAATATTTGCTGCTCTTAAACCTGTCTCGACTGGAGGCCAGCTGAGTTGCCAAGAGAGCCTTATGGCCCTGCTGCACTGGGAGGGGACACTGGCCACTGGCCCCAGCAGCTGATCACCACTGAAAGGGCCATACAGGGTCCCTTAGGTCTAGCAAGCCCTCCAGGGCCCCTACTGATGAGGGGCCACTAAAGTCCACCACTAGAAAAGAAGGAGGCTGGCCGTGATCCACTCCTTCCCTCCCCCTTGGCTGCCTCTAGACAACTTTGGGCCTCCTGATTGGCCTAGAAGTCTCTCCCCGCCTGTTCAGGTGTGAGGCAACTGTGGGAGCTGTCGACATAGGAAGTGTTCAGGGGCGGCGCGATCGGCGTGGTTACAGCTTGAGTGTGTCGGCGCCACCACCACATACGCACCCACAAGCCACACACCCTCCCCTCCCTGCCTGCTCAGAGTCGTGCCACTGGGCACGGAGGCAGCCTCAGGCGGGCGGGCTCCAGAGGAGGGCAGGAGGCCGCTCCTGGCAACAGGCTCCTCCCCCCGGGGGAGGGTGGGGAAGCAGCGTGAGCTGGAGCAAAGACCCTGGGGCCAGGAACCTGAGCAGCCATGGCTCTGGGATGCCACTGCCAGGCTTCCTCAGAGCTGCCAGATGGTCGTTGGAATTCCCAACTGACCCAACTGACGTGGAATAAAATGCTCCTTGTTCTCTCCCTCCCTCTCAAAAAAGGAAGGAAATTCTCCAGACAGATTGTCTTTGGGCACGCCTAGGTGGTGTGGCGGGAAAACCACAGGGCTAAAGGTCAAAAGAGGTAGACTCCAGCCCTGGCCATGCTGCTCACTCACTGTGTGACTCCGGGCAAGCCCCCTCACCTTTCTGGACCTCAGTTTCCTTATCTATAAAATGGGTAGAGGGAAAATTAGAAAAGATGATCTCCAAAGTCCCTTCTGGAGATAAACTTCCAAATTTGGCGTGACATAGGCCCAGAAGAGAGTAAAGAGTGTTCAGCAAATCTTGCTTTGTTGTCCTGGTACCTGAAAGGGTCCCTCAAAAGCCTGGCTTTCACTCAGGGCTTGCCTATGTCCTGGGAGAATCCAGCTCATCAGTGACTACAAAGCTCTGCACCTTGGACTGCCTGGAGGAGGCGTATTTATAAAGGACATTATGGTCACTGCTACTGTAATATTTACAACTGCGATTATGGAAAGCAACTGTGAGGGGGATATTGGCCACTTGCCCCAGCAGCATAAGCCCAGCGTGGCCCTGTGAGCTCTATCGCAGTGTTGACCAGACATACCTTCCCAAGTGGCCCTGCACTGTGGCCCCACCAGCAACAGAGCAAACCAACACACAGTAGATATGACCAGCTTTGTTCTCAGAGGAGCAGGGCCCCTGAGTTCCTCGGAGCAGTGATCCCTGTAATTCTCAGCATCCTGGGGATGCCTGGCACTGGATCCACCTTTATCCACTGGGAACCAGGTTTGAAAGGTCCTTAGATTGGACCATTGGGGCCCTCGGGATCCCAGGGTGGAGATGGGGTGTGGTTGAAATGGGAAAGGGTTCCAATGCTGTCACTGGAGCAGTTCACCAGGTTAACATCTCATTTAAAAAAGGGATTCCACTGCTAATGCATTTTCCCTTCCCTGGGCTCACGGTGGCATATCCTTGTAGAACGAGCACTGCATAGGAGTCCAGGGAACTGGGGCCTAGTCCAAACTTCCCCACTCACTTGCTAAGTGACCCCAGGCAGGTGTGTCTGGGCCTTTGCTGTATCACCTGTGCAGAGGGACAGATGGTACTCTTTTTTTTTTTTTAGATGGTACTCTTTGAAGGCCTTATTCCCTTCTTTCTGGGATTATGCATGATTCTGATGTCTCCTTCTGGAAGCAGGAGACTGAGCACTGCCCTGGCTGGCTGTTGATACAGGTGATGAGCCTTTGAGTCTTGCCTAAATAACAGAGGCCCCACCAGTTTCTGGCTTCCCTCCCAGCCAGGTCAACCCACTCGCAAAGCTGAGCCCCTTGAAGAAAGGCTGATGTCTGACCACCCCCACTCACACTCCCCTGTCACCTAACACAGCCGAACAGATTCCTGAAGCCTCAGTCACTGTAGTGCTGGAACATGCATTCCAGGCCCTTGAAATGGGCTCCTGCTTTGAGCTGGAGGCCTGGGATGCTGGGGAGGAATGCAAAGTCACAGGGGCAGTACCGAGGGCCTGACCCTTTCTTTCAGTCTGCTGGGTGCCTGGCCTGTGCCACACACTGGGAGACAGCCTGGGGCTAATCCACAGCAGCTCACAGCCAGGGCTCCCTGGCCGCTTGTCCTGGGGCCCCTCTGCCAAGGACCAGAGAAGGATACTACTGCCAGCCGGTCACAAAAGTCCTTCCCCTGTGTTGACACCTTCCTACTTGCAACAAGTGCTCCCACACTTGAGCTCACTAGAGCAGCAAGTCCTGGCTAGTCGGAAGCACGATCCCCATTTTGTGGCTGAGGAAACTGAGACTTAGAGATGCCAAGGGACATGAGTGAGATGACAGAGCCAGCCCTGGCTCTCAATTCTCTAGCTCTGCCTCCAGTGATGAGGAGGATGTGTTCCTTGTCCCCCTTCCTCGTCTCCTCAGTGCTCCCAGAACATTAACCCTGCCCCTTACAACTCTGCAGAATATTCTATGTCTGTCAGGCCCCAAAAGCCACCAACGTGGCTCCTTGCCACTGGTCCAAGCTATACCTGTTCATCTCTCCTCCTGCGGCCCACGGTGGTGCCAATGGTCTTGATCACGCCGGGTCTTGGGAGGGCCATGTGTCCTGGGACAGAGGCCAGGCCCGGCAGGGGGCTGTAGGGGTGGGAGCGCGGGTACGGGTTAGACATGGAGGTGATCACCGTGGGCTGCACCATCCACTGCAGGTCCTGGCTGGTTGTGATGGCGTTGATGGTGGGGATGAAGGCACTGCCTGAACCAGGCATATCTACCCGGAATTTCTGAAACGAGGAGAAAAATACAATGGAGCCAATAAATACTGAGTAGAACAGGATCCTGAACAAATTAATATTTAACAGAGCAGAGGCCAGTACCAGCAGAGAGCACATCAGTACATGGAGGGCAAGGTCAGGACCCCAAGTGGGCTTCCCTGGACAAGTCCTGGGCAAGTCTCATACATCCAAGAATCAAGGAGGTCTTAACTATCCCTGGGGCCTCACATCAGACCTGCTCCCTGACTGGGGTCTTGAGGACTCCACACCCCAGTGGCTGAGAGACAATGCCATCCGATCCCAAATGACTTCTAGGACAGATGTGGTCCCTACCTGCTCATGCTCAGCAGGCCCTCTCTGTAGCCCTCCAGGAAGCACATCTGCAGGATGTGGCATCTGGGCCTCCTGAGCCTAAGTCACCTGCCAATTATTCCCCAGGGTACTGGTCAGGACACTTTGAATAGACTTGTACACCAGCAGCTTTGGAGCAACAGTGATACCAAGAAGCACACTGAGTCTGCTTTTGTCACTTCCCAAAGAGCTTCAGGGTGGGGCTATGACCCTATCAGAGCAAGGCCAGGTCCATGAGAAGGTGTCCTTCAACCCATGAGACTAAACAGTTGGTGGCATTTGCAGCCAAACTTCCTCTTGCTCCCCTTGTCTCTCTTCCTTTCCATTCATCGGTACCTTGCTGGGGCCAGACCTGCCGTGTCTACCCTACATATCTATCTATCTGTGTTCACTGGTGCATCTACGGGAAACTCAGGTGCTACTAGTTCAGAGTTTTCTCTCCAGCTCTTGATTTATGCCCGTGCCACATTGCGGAGCTCCCTGGGACACGCTGCAGGAAGCATCCTATTTAGAGTATGATGACAGAGTACAAAAACTAAAGAGGGCTGTGCTCCTCAGCAGTTAGCCTTGACCTTTCTCCAAATCAGCTACTGGAAAATGAGAGAAGAGGGAGAAAGGAAGAGTCCCCGACTTCCAACTTCTCCCTGCCAAAGAGGAGTCACCCCCCCAATAAAAGACAGAGGGGGAGCCCCACGCCGAGTCTTTCCTCCCAGCAGCACCCCCCAAACTCCTTAATTTTATTCTCAGCCAGATAGTAACACGCAGCCTCCTCTCCACTCGGTTGGGAAGGCAACCCTGCAAAAGGGCATGGAAAGCAAAGTCCCCTCCCCCGGGCCCCACTCCACAGCCCAGGGTTCAAGGCCAGGGTTGCTGGGGAGGGGCTGCCTGTTTTAGTCACCCAGCAGCTTCTGGGGTCCCTCCACCATCCTGGGCGCCCCACTTCTAGCTTAGCCAACAGCTGTCCGTCACTTCCACCTCCGTCAGATTTGTGCTTTTATCTCTCAATAGAAAAGTGGGGAGCCACCCCAATTCGTCCCTCTGTTTGTCCCTCTCATAACTTCTCCCCATCCCAGGAGGGCTCTCAGGCCTGGGGTGGGGCCCCGGGTGGGCACGGGGCGATTCAACCTGTGTGCTGCGAAGGACGAGACTTCCTCTTGAACAGTGTGCTGTTGTAAACATATTTGAAAACTATTACCAATAAAGTTTTGTTTAAAAAAAAAAAAAAAAAAAGCCCCCCTGACAGAACCCAGGTGAACCCTCATCTTCAGGTGACTACTGTATCCACACAAAGTTCTCCAGTTTCTTCTCTAAGCTGATAGGTGAAATGACAACAATAATATCAACAGCTAATGCTTACAGAGTGCTTACAATCAACAGATACCATGTTAGTGTCTCACCTAGATTAGCTCATTCATTCTGCCTCTAAGGTAAGAATGACCACTATTTCCATTTCAGAGGCACAAATTTACGCTTAATGGGATTAAGTAACTTAGCCAAGGCCACAATAAGCAGTGAGCAGGACTCAAACCCAGTCCAGCCTGACAAAGAGGCCAGAGCTCTCAAGCACAGTACTACATAAGCTTCTCTAGTCCTGCTTCTCTCTTTCCAAAATCCAGCCCTAAGTGCTGGTCTCACCCCCACCACCCTCAGACAGAGCGTCAGGTCATCCTTGCCAAGGTTCCTACAGACCTTCCCTCTCACTACACAGGTCCCAGAGGCCTGTTTGGCCCCAGATGAAATGCCACTGTCATCAGCATGGATGCTGCAGTATCCCCCCAATTCTGGTCCAGTCCTGACCAATCAGGATTAGAAGCATTAGCAGCAATGGGAGCTGCCACCACCACTGTCTTTGCCCTGTGACAACATCTGGGGTCCTGCTGTGCAAATAAAGTGAAGCTTAGAGTACCTGACAGGGCTGGAGACCCTTCCTCGCTCAACCCTGCCTCCTACCTGACCCAAGCCTGGGCGGTGGAATGTGGCTGCCTCACCTCCCAGACCATCCCAGGCCACCGGCACTCAGTGAAGAGAACTACCCAGCACAATGGACTCTGGGCTTCTGTGAGGAAACTGCAACGAACCCTAAAACTCCGGCAGAGAGCTGCCCAATGCAATGGATTCTGGGATTCCATGAGCAATGCTACCCAGTGCAATGGATTCTGAGATTCCGTGAAAAATGTTACCCAGTACAATGGATTCTGGGATTCCATGAGCAATGCTACCCAGTGCAATGGATTCTGAGATTCTGTGAAGAATGTTACCCAGTACAATGGATTCTGGGATTCTGGGGGGAAGGTACCCAGAGCAATAGAATCTGAATTGCACCTCCAAAGGCAAAGACAACTGGGCTTTTCATCAGGAGCTAACTGAAAAGAGAAGCATGTGTGTATGGGTGTGTGCATGTGAAGGAGGGAAGGGTGCAGCCAACAGGGAAGGATCCAAGTGGGGAACGATCTTCAAGGAGAAAAAGCGGACAGCCAGGCGGGGCTGCGTGGAGGCAGAGTGAGTGAGTACAGCAGGCATGGCTGAGTGTGTGCAGAAGCACCAAGACCCAGACAGCCATTTTTCTCCTAGGCTGCTGGATGGGATGGGCAGGAATTTAGCACAGCACCTGGGGTCAGGAGGCTTGGGCTGGGGCCTGGCTTAGCCACGAAGTGCTCTGCTCTGGGCAGAGCACTGAGGACTCAGTCCCATGGATGTAGAGGGGAACCCTAACCAAACCCTAAACTGTCATGTGGGTTAAATAAATAGTTACTTGTCATCACAGCCTACACAGCACGCCAGTGCTTCTTAACTCTGGCTGTACATTAGAATATTTCCTACAAGCTGAGAAGCTTAGAAAAAGCACCAATGCCGGAGCCTCGCCATTCGAGCTCTAAAATAATTGTTTTGGGTGGGGCTCTGATAAACGTATTTTTCAAAAACTCTCAAGCAGATTCTAATGTGCAGCCAGGGCTGAGAAACACTGCAGCAAACAAATGTAAGGTGCTATCGTCGCCATCCCCAGCAGTGCCATCAGCGGCGGCACTACGAGCCTGTGGCTGAGGCTGCGGGGAGAACTGCCAGCCTCCCACTCCTGGGAAGCACCCAACGTTTTAACTTCTCCCCAAGTCACACTCTGGGTTTGACATGCACCCGAGGCACCCAGCATCATGGCTTAATGTGACCCTTATCTCCACGGGGGAGCCGTTAGCTATTATTCTTTCAGGAAAGCACCTAGGGGAGTCATACCTCAGTCCACCAAGCAAAGTGCTCCATGTGAGGCTTGGGGAAGCAAGTGAAAAACCTAAATCAAAGCTTAGAGACTTAATGCCTGTGGAAGAATAGAAAAAAATAAAAAAGGCTTGGAAAACTAAGATCCTTTGGAATAAGTGGATGACTTTCAACCCTTCTTGGGCGCTCCAGTGCACCGCTGTGGAAGGCAGGTCTGCAGAATGTGCTCCCTGGTATACATCAGCCACATTCCTTGCAGCAATGGCTTGTTCTAGACAAAACAAGACAGCAATAAAAACCAGGCAGGAGGTAATGACTGCCTCTGAAATGCATGTACACCTTGTTTCAGACAGGAGGTAAAGCCATCTGGATAATACACTGGCTCCAAACTGCAAGGAAAACAATGTCCCATCCCCAGAGGGGCCTGGGGCTCTGATAAAGAAGGCTTTTGTCTCCAAGAGGAGCCTCTCTGGGAGACACAAAAGTTTTAATTAGATCTGGGAGATGGGTCCTGTCTCAACTCAGAACGTGTTATTCAAAAAGCAACACTGGGGTAGGAGAGAAGAGGTGAGGTTAGGAGTTTGTGGTCCCAGAAGTTAGCCTGGCATTCTTCTATGCCAACAGACCCAAGAATCAGCCAAATGCCACGTTGGGGATAATGGCTCTCTATGAATGAGTTAACATTAAACAGAAACCAGTATGGAGTTTCCCAGCAGCCGGACTGAGGGCAGTTGTCGTCTTATTGTAGTATCAGTGTGTTGGGAGTGAGCGGTTGGGGAGAGGTAACCCAGGACCTAACTTGGCTCCCCTGGGGCTCTGTAGCCCCCAGGACACTACTCCTCCAGGACAGGATTGAAGATACTGGATGGCCGTATGGCATTCCAGCCTGGCAAAGCCTCCAAATATTTTATTTAACTGTGACCTCTGGGTGGGCAAGAATGCCTATAAAAGGACAAAGTGGTCTCCATCAACATCCTAGAGCAGAATTCGGCAAACTTTTCCTGTAAAAGGCCAGAAAGCAAACATTTTAGGCTTTGTGGGCTGTACGGTCTCTGTCAAAACTCAACTCTGCCATTCTAACACGAAAGTAGCCAGAGATAATGTGTAAACAAATAGGCATGCCTGCACTCCATTTGACTTTATTTACAAAAATACTTGGGCCATAGTCTGTCAATTCCTGTCCTAGAGGATCATTCTCATCTCCCATACTCAGGTTGGAGGGAAAAGAGCAAAGAGAAGAAAAAAGAAAGCAAAAAATCAGAACTGAGGTATTCCTCCAGCCCCAGGAGCCAAAGGGATAGGCTCTCACTCATCAGCTTGAATCTCCAGACCCTGAGCCGAAGTCCAAGCCCTTTCGCAAGTAGGCTTTGGCCCCCCGTTTCCCACAGGCCTGGATGGGGCAGAGCCTGTCCCAGAGACTCCGAGTGGGGCGGGACTGGTGTCTGAGG